CCTAAATAGCCTCCCTAAGCTCGGTTTCCTCATCATGTTAGGTCTGGTGCAGCACTGTTGTGAATCTGAAGCTGGATCCATCTGTAACATCCTATTCAAATTTAAGGTTCATGTTATTTTGTAAAGACCTATTATTTGAGAATCCATAAGGTGCCAGATGGAGAGTTGGTTTGGGTTGCTTGAACAGCTGGGTCAATTTAGGAGTGATAATGCGGGGGGCATCATTTGGTGTCCTCCACACTTAACTCCATCGGGGACAAAAATGAAGGGTGAGAGATACTAGAATGACCTGATTTCTGTTTCTAAATCATGGACTGTCACTGGAAGTGATCATCTCTTGCTTCTAATTACACAAAGAACTCTTGAGAGAATAAATGAAAGACCTGTTTCAAGGTGCCCAGAAGGGAGATGTACAGCTTTTCACCAGCCCTTCTTAATCCAGCCCCACAGCACTAGCTGACTTTAGTAGGCTCTTCCTACTTACCAGGGATACATCAAGTACCAAGCCAAGTAGAAAATGCATATTTAAAAAAATGTGCTGGGACCATATCCAAGGAACGAAGACATGAGCTGATTTAGAATACTATTTCCCATCTTGTCCCATCTACAAATCTTGATTATCTTAATAAAGTTGTTTGAATATAAATATGGATTCCCCAGTGTAGACAGACAACAGATGCAAATCACTGTTTTTCAGCTGAGTCATGAACTCATGAACTGGATCAGGTGACATGAGGTGTCAAAGGCCCAAGAGAATGGACAGCTGTATGTGGTGCAGCCCTGTGATATCCTGAGTCCTCCCTCTCTTGTAGATGTAGAGAAATTTTATCTATCATCTATCTATCCATTATCTATCTATCTATCTATCTATCTATCTATCTATCATCTATCTATCTAATGTATCATCTGCCTATCTGTCATCTATCTATCTACCTCCCTACCTATGTTTGATTGGCTCCAAATGACCTGATCTCAGTGAAAAAACTAGCCCCTGTCATAGGGATGCAGTGAATGATCCCCTGGTACTTGACCAACCCCTACCAGAGTGCCTTGCAATCAACAAATCCTTGCTAGTCAGTTGGGCACATTGCTGGGTGCTGAATTGAGACAGGTGAAACTATCTCACTGGAATGGGTAAGCCAAGCTTACTGTGTGCTAAAGGAAAGGGCATCTGGATGATAGAGGGGACTGATGGCTGTGCTCAGCTAAAGGAACTTGATGCCTGGAGCCTGGATATGTACAGTATGGCCTGGTAAAGCAGCAGTAGGGAACATGGCCCAAAGGGCAGAGCAATCAGAATCCTGTTATTGAATTCAGTGGAGGCAGAAAAGCTGAGATGTCAGACCATGCCTTGCTCCTTTCAGCACTTGCTGGGTTTGGAAAGCCTGGAGCTTCTATCTAGAGGCACCCACATTCTGCTCTTTCCTACTCCAGTGATGCCACCTCAGTCATCACTCTACTTTCCACCTGGTGGGTTTGGATAAATCTTTCGAGCCCCTGAGTCTTACCCTGCCTTGTGTGTTAAGATGTGTTCTCTACTACAGAGACCCGCGTGGCATTCCACTCCCAGTGGTCACCAGGTCCTGCTGTGCTGGGCCACTGCACTTGCTCTTCTCATCTCCCTGGAGTCTGTTTAGAGTCTGCAGTGGGCCATGCCACACCTGTCATGCTTGCAGCATAGGGCAGCCACTGGCCCACAGAAGCCTGCTGTGCCCTAAACATGGGACTGGTAGTTCTTGCCTCTTCCTTCCATGTGGAGTTCTGACCTTGTCCTGTGGGTATCAGCAAGACAACAAATTCATTACTCATTCTACATGCTTTTCTGGCAGGGAGCCAGCTGTCTACTGGCCCCAAGCATCTGTGGGCTTGGCGTCCACCATTTCTTTGCTAGGTTGAGTAAAATCTTTGGATGTGAACCTCATGGGAGTGAGGTAATCACTCCTTGGGCAGCTCAGCTCATCCTGAAGAACAGGGAAGGGCTTCCAAAAGGACATGGGGGACATCATAGACACAGTCTCCTACCACTGGCTCTATCTAAGGCTCCCAACTTCAAAAGCAGAACACAGGTGGGAATGTGTCCTGTAGATAAGAGATGCAACATCTGCATTTTCCAAGAGGGCAGCCTCAGCTCAAGGTCTGAACTTAACACTTAACAGTTTATTGGAAAAGTGGGCCAACAGATGTCAACACCCATGACAAAAATACAAGTGAACTTTCAGGTGCATAAAATTGTCTTCATAAAAGCTGGCACTCAAGCCAGTCCACAAGGGGCCTCTAAGAGACCCAATAAAACCTCAAAGGTGAGGCCCTGAAACTCAGGCCAGGGCCTCTGAAAAGCAGCTTTGGCTATGGCATCAGCTGCCATAACCATTTGGCATTCATATCCTGGTGCAACAGAATTTGTTGGCAAATGGACAGACTGTCCCATTGATGCATTTTAAACCCAGAGGCTGCTCTACATGGAATTTCCTCTAGCATGTTGGGAAGTACAGAGTGACTGGCTAGGCCTGAGGAATGCTGTCTCAGACTTTGGAAAGGCTGGGCCTGTTTCCAGTGGAGCCCTGTTCTTAGTTAGCTGTGTGGCCTTAATGTGGCATCTTGGGCAGATGCTGAGGGCACAGTGATGGACAGGTGCCACCTGTCTCACCATGTTCTCCCCAGGAACCATTGTAGCTGGACTATCTGGGCAAGTGGGGATACCTGGTGATGTGGAGAAGCCAGGTGAGGACAAGATGCCCGGTCAATTTGGGTACACCTGGTGAAGTGGGGCTCCCTGGTAAGGTGGCAATCCTTGATACACAGGGGACACCTGCTGAAACCAGGGATGCCTAGTGAAGCAGGAGCAGAGAGGAACTTGAAGGAGATGGAGATAAGTAAGCTAAAGATGGGGGAGGGAGATGTGAAGATGAGTAGGCCCTGCCCTAACCACCAGTGCCACAGAAGTCGCCTCAGGTCCTCATCCTTCCCCAAACTCATTCCCATCACCTGCTGGCAAAGACATGCCGTGAAACACAAACCAAAGTAGCTTTTAAGCTCCTAAGAGTCTTGACCCACAAACAATGTGATCTAGGTCCCAAAGCATAGGTGGCTCTTGCTATGTAGAGCCACCGCCGAGGCAGCATGGTTTTTAAGATGTGATGGTGGGAGTTGCACCTTAATTTGCTGTTTCCCTGGCGCATGATTTTGGGTAAAATTACTTACACTCTCTGGGTCTCTGTCAACAAAATGCTCGTAGTAAAGAGTTTTTGCAGGAATGAAATGAGTTGTTGCAGAATGAGGAACTTTGCAGTCAGGTGCAAGGTAGCAGGTTTTACCTGCTGTCTGGGGGTTTTGGTGCCAGATTGCAATTCCCATTCTCTCTCTACAGTGCCACTTATGTGGTACTGGGTGAGTTACCTTCTCTGAACCTCAGTTCTGTCATCTGCCTGCCGGGGTTCTTGGGACTACATGAGATAATGTGGGTCCAGTGCCCAGGGCAGGACCTGCGGAGCATGGGGTCTCTTCTGTCATGGCTGCACCAACTAGAAAAATATGGGTCTAGAAAGGCATATGGGCCCCAGACACACTTAGAAGACTGTTGTGCTGTGTAGCCATCACTAACAAAGCCACTGAAGATCACATTCAATCACTTCCTCTGATAGCAAGGCGAAGCCAGTCGTAGGATGGATCTAACTGCCATATGAGCTGCAAGGCCACACATGCCTTATTAAGTTGTCCTCTGAATGGTTTGGCCCTGACCCTAACAACCATAGGGCAATCTGCACCATATGTTCTGTGCTGGTCCTTCAGAAAGACTTGGCAGAGCTTGAGAAACCACAGAGAGTGCTGAGTCCCTTTAACCTGAAACTTTTCCATGTGGAAAGACAGGAGCTGAGAGAAGGTGAGAAGGTGATCTAGCAGGAAACAGAGAACCTGAACATTGAGGGGCTGCATACGGCACCCATGATGGTGGCAGTGAGACGGTGGGGAGGACATGGGGAATTGATTCTACTTTTGAATCAAATCAAAAGATATGGAACTTTGAGCACCTCTTGAACTTAAGATGGACCAATTTAAGACAAGTACAAAGCCCATTTCACACAATGGCTCATGAGAATAAACCCTGAGATACTGGGAAGAAAAGATGGAAGGACACAAACAAGTTGTGGGATGAGCTTCCAGGACACTGAGAGTGACCAGAGCCACCCCAGCTCCGGCACACCAACCCAGGCCAGGCACTGAGCTCTGTGCCTGTGCATTCCCCAGAAGTCCTCAGAAGTGGGCCTCAACTGTCATCTCCTAGAGATGAGGTTCAGAGACATACACCCATATGGATCACACAACTGGTTTGATCCCAGTCCGTGTGTTCTATCACCAGGTTACTCTGACTCTCATAGGGAGGTTTGGGCTTCTTCCAGACATTCTCTTTCAGGTTAGGGTCTTAGAATATGTTTTTGGAACATCCACTAAGGACCAGTTCTAGATGGATCTTGGATTTGACCCAGGAAGGCAGTGCTAAAATTTTCAGAATATTAAGTGTTTAAGGTCAAGGAAGAGGGGCAAGTGAGAGACATCAAACCTGAGTCCTTATTCCAGGACAGTGGTTCCTAACTTGTGCTGGACACTGGCATCACCAGGCTGTAGCCCTGTTCAATGACAGCAGGATTTCTGGGGCTGGGACCCAGGCAGCAGGTATTTTATAAGTGCTGTGGAAGGAACCACTGTCCTAGAGAGGTGGCCTCTGCATCAACTAGTATTATTATTAGGATAATAATATTAATAATAATATTAATGGTGTTCAAAGTAAAAGCGTAAGTAGCCAGAGCTATGTGACCCTCATCTTAGAAGACCCTCCCACTTTACCACCAGCTGAGTCCTGGGTCACTCTGTGGTTATTTCAAACAAGTGAAAAGTAGAAATGAAACCCAAGAATTGATATTCATCAGAAAAAAAAGTCATAGGCGAAAAAGCTAAAAGATAATTTTTGTTAAATAATGAACACTCGTAAAACAGCAGTGAAATGGTATTAAAATGTCTGATTACTTATTTCTCAGCATTCGTCGGATAACTTAAGCAGCATGAAGCAGTAGTTGCACTTAAAAAAATGACAAGAAAATAGCTATTCATTTAGTCGACAGGGAAGGTTCATTTCCTTTTAAAGATCACTGGTGTCACTGCTCATCGCCAAGGTGAGTGTCAACACAGGCATCTTTATGCTGAGACGGTGTCCACAGCTCCTTTGTCTCCAGTTCCTGGAGCAAACCTTGGAGTCTTTCCGGGAGGGGTCTCGGGAGGGGCTGCGGCCTGCCCCCCACAACCCCCCCGCTAGATCAATGAGGTCCCAAGACTGCATATTGCTGCGTGGTGGCTACTGAGTTTGGACATGTTCCAAAGGAGGCCTGATGTTCCTAGGCTGGGGGCAGCACAGAGGGAGTGTCCACTGGGCCTGGGGACAGACCCCATGTGATCTGGATTTGCATTCTCAGGGCTAGACCCGTCTGAAGACCAGTGGCAGCTGGGGGGCCTGCCAGTACTTCTGTCTCTCTTCCTGCCAGCCCCATCTGCTTCCTGCAGGGAAGGACCGTGGATGGGGAAAATGCTGGAGGAGTCAAGCAGGGCCACAGACAGAAGTAATGTGTCCTCTGCCCTCTGCCTATTGCACCATATTCCATAAAAAATAAACACATTTGAACTGTTTGTGTATTGCTAATGCTATGGCATTCCAGGCACTGGCAGGCTGCAGAGAGCAGCACTGTCATGAATCCACCAGAATCCATCCATAGACAGCCTTTCATGTCAGGATCTTTGGAGCTTCCCTTTGGAAGGATCAGCAGTGCCATGTGCCTCGTGCTCTACACAGTGCTGTGAAAATGAAATTAAAGGGTAAAAACAAAACAAATCCATGGGTAGAAAATCCCAGGGCTTTATGGAGTTGTTTGGCAATAATTTATAGTGTACAGCATCACACAGGTGTGTCTACCTGTGTGTCCACCCCTTGCCAGCCCTGCCTTCTGTGCATCTGCACACAACTGGCCCCAGGTATTTCCCCTATGTGCCTGGATGAAGCTCATAGGTGGTTGTTCTTGGAGAGGTAGGCGATGAGGGCCACAGCCACGCCCACGTAGATGCCAGTTCCTATAGTGATGGATAGTACAGCCAGGAATAGGGCCCGCCGGGAGCTAGTGCTGGCCTGGTGGAAGTCGCCCTTGGCCACAGCTTTGTTAGTCTGTTGGAGAGAAAAGAGGGAGGAGAAAAGGAAGTCAAGGTGAGCAAGTCAGAACAAATGAAGTGAGTGTAGTACTCACCTCTGGTGTCTTTCCAGCCTTGACCTTAGCTTACATCAGACAGGGAGGACTTGCCAAAGGGTAACTGAGTGTGCTCCCAGGTGTGATGCAGCTGTTCTATAACTGGCAAGGAAGAAATGTGGGGATATTTATCCTCTAGACTACAAGGCAGTTAAAGCTTAAAGAAAAGAGTCCCCAGGAATACCCATGGCTGGCAGTAATCCACCACTAATGTCGGGTCCAGGGTCTTGGGCACCAGGATGTGAGGGATAGAATAAATATTACAGCCTCACCACCTTCATTTTTACCCATAGATGACACTTTTTTTAATTTGAATAACACAGAGTTTTCTTTTTCTTTTTTAAAATGTTTATTTATTTATTTTTTGAGAGAGTGAGTAAGCCAGGGAGGGACATAGAGAGGGATAGAGAAATTCTAAGCAGGCTCCACCATTTCAGCACAGAACCCAACATGGGATTTGAACTCATGAATTGTGAGATCATGGCCTGAGCCAAAACCAGGAGTTAGAAGCTTAATTGACTGAGCCCCCAGGTGTTCCAAATAACACTGAATTTTCTAAAATATGTTCACACTTACCTGATTTAACTTTACAATATAGTAGGGGTGTGAGGAAGAAAATTATAGTTCTCATTTCCCAGAGAGGAAACTATGGCATAAGATCATTAAAGTAATTGCAGGATACTTGACACTTCAGACTTCAGCTGGTAGCCATGGAATCCAGCATTCCTGACCATTGACCTTCCTTACCATAGCGGCAGTTGGTAAAATTCAATAAGATATCAATAAAATATTTGATATAAGACCAATACCCATGTCACTCAGTTGCCTAATGAGGTGTTGCTTTGACAAAATTCATGTTTCTCAGGTCACGAGATGGATAGGAATGTAGAGGTTTGGGCTATTGTATCTGGTTGGGTATTTTGCAGCAGACTCCATGTATCCATTCCCAACCCCTTCCTTTGCTGTCCCTCTCCACAGGTGAGACTAGAAATCTCACACAACCACTGTCATGTGTTTCAGCTGTACCGTCCTGAAAGGGCCGCCTGAGGAAACTGATTTGGCTGATGGGAGTAGAAGCTACCAGGACTCCCTTAACACCTGGGAAGGTCAAGTGATGCTGAGTAGGGTTAACCCCAAGCTGGCTGGGGATTCTTTATGGTCAGGGGAAAGGCAGAGCCCACTGCCCGGGTTGATGTCTTAACTCACTCTCTGGCTCATCTCCAAAAATCCAGATCTTCACCAGGTCCCATCTCCATGTGTTATCAGTGAAATTTCTGCATCATGTAGGCTGGTATGGGAGTGGTACGTTGTTTACCCAAACTAAGATATGCCAACACCTTTGCAAGGACCACAAAGGGTCAAACTCAGAGGTAGCTCATTAACTTCCACCTTCCATAGTCCTGACCCTGACTGATGAGATGTGGAGTTCTGTGTCAGTCTGAGAAGGGATTATGGTCTGCTTGGGACCTCTCTTTTCCCTACCTGCTGGATCCTGGAGGTCAGTTTTTGTCTTCTCCTAATTTTCTTCCTTGGAAGGGAACTTGGGAGCTCACTGCTGACAAATCTTGATGAAGCAGAGCTAAGGGAAGGTTGAATGAGAAGCCTCCTAGGATAATGCTAATTAATTAATTAAGCCTCAATTAACTGTGTTTCATTTTCTCTAGCAGCACTCCCAAACACCCCAGTGTCCCATAACATCATTCCCTAAAAATGCCCTTCCTTAGGCAGGTGGCCACCCTCCATCAGATGGGGCTTTGCTACTATCTCTCATTATCACCACCCTTAAGGCAATCTACCCTGGGCCCTGCTACAGGAGAGGACAGATGTACAGACAGAAAGTCAGGGCACACTGGGCACTCCCTCCCCCTGAACACAGGTGGTGCTGAGAGTGCCTGTGTCTCAACTGACCCATCTCACCAGGGCTCACACGTTTCGGTAACTATGTTTAGTAATTGCCTTCCTGGTTCAGCTCTAAGCTCCAGAGACAGGTTTCCATCTGCCTTGTCCACATGGTCTGCCTGGAGCCTGGGGGGATTGTAGGAACTCACTGAACACTTCATAAATGACAGGTGAGTGGGCTGTACAAGATCAGCTCCCTTCAAATGCTTCTAGGTGGTACTGGCACCAGGTGCATGGTCCTGGGTTTTCTGGTGGCCACTATGAGGAAGGTAGTGGCACCAGGCAGCCTTGACCTAAGCTCTGGCCCAACTCTGAAAAACCTCTCCTCTGGTGGGTTCTGAGCCCATGGTGCCTGCTCTCATTCCCAAGAGCCTGGAGTGTCTGCTGCTCCACAGTTTACTCTTAACAGTTCAAGCTGGGAACACTATCTACATTTTGTTTGGTTATGGGGCAAATGTTCCAACAGGAAGTGTGTTGTGTTGAAGATGCTATCAGCTGAGATGTGTCAGAAACAGCAAACAGATAGAGCCTCACTGACAAGCAGGCTGCTTTTTAGCAATGACACTCAGCATTTGCATTTTGTAGAAGCTCCTGCAAGGTAGCGATATCCTTTACACTCCACAGACCGGGCATCCTGATCTAACAAAGATGGACCCTGACACACATCCTTTGTTTCAGAAATTGGATCTTGTGGCTACAAATTAGCTTGTATCTCCTTTTAAGAAAATGCAACCTCAAAGAAATATTTCCATCCTGAAAACTTCTGGGCTAAATCTCCAGGCTCTTCTTGTTATGCAGGAGTGTAGGGGTCTGGCCCTGGATCCAGGGGTCTGTGAAGCCCTGATGCTGAAAGCAGGGCTGTGTACATGCACATTTTTATGAGCTGAAGGTCAGGCGGGCCCACTGGCTTCCCAAAGATGCCATATTCCCAGCTGCTCTGACTGCTGCACTGGGGTGGGTAGGGGAAGGGAAGCAGGTACCAAAGAATAGAGCCAATCCAGCATCTCTTGGTAGGGACAAGAAGACACTGCAGGTGCTTGCTTCTTGGCTTGAATGAACAGATGTTTGCTTGCCCTAATTGGAGATCTAGACTTGTCTATACACCAGTCTGTACATGCAGCCCATGGTTTGTGAGTGTGCTGCAGGCATGCTGAGAGGCCTTACTTGGAATGGCCTATGAGTCTCATCAACACAATCTGTACCATGTCAGACAACTCTGCAGCAAGTCTTCTCAAACTTGGGGCACATTCCAATTGCTAGGAAGCTTTGAAGACTCCTGATGCCCAGGCCATACCCCGGGCCAGGGAAATCAGAGGCTCTGGGCTGGGGCCTTACTTCTGAGCCTTTCGTGCTCCCAGGTGCTTACAGTGTGCGGGCAAGGTCATCACAATCTGTACCACGTCAGACAACTCTGCAGCAAGTCTTCTCAAACTTGGGGCACATTCCAATTGCTAGGAAGCTTTGAAGACTCCTGATGCCCAGGCCATACCCCGGGCCAGGGAAATCAGAGGCTCTGGGCTGGGGCCTTACTTCTGAGCCTTTCTTGCTCCCAGGTGCTTACAGTGTGCAGGCAAGGTCAAGACCAGGGTGGCAAATTGTTTCAGTTTGCTCAGGACTGAGGGAATTCCCAGGACTTGGGACACTCTGTGCTGCAATAGGGACAGTTCAGACAAACTGAAGTGAGACTCACTGATTTGCAGGAAGGCAGTCCTGGTCTGGCATGGAGAACATCCTGCTGACAGGATCACCTTTCCATGTCAGCATGGAGGGAATGAAGCTGGGAGAGCTAGAGCTCAAAAGGGTGAACTCAGTCTCCTGGGGGGTGTCCCCACCTGAGTTGTGGGCAGCTGTGTGCCCTGATGGCCTGTACATTTACCATGCAAGACACTGCTTTGATTCCTGCATGTGGGCATTTTCAGAAAGGGAAGTCACCCAAACCCTCAGCTCTCACACTTTTGTTTTTAGCTTGTGGGTGTTATTTCCAAACCTCATTCTCTCTTGACTGGTTTATGGCCCCGAGGAGTTTATAATTGGCTGGCATTTTATCTCCTGATAGCCTCCTTTCTAATGGCAGCATGGGACTGACCCTGTTTTTGTGGGGCCAACGTGCCCTGCAGGTGGGGGCCCCAGTCTTGATCCTAGTCCATCATCCTGGAAAATGTCTTCTGCTGTGGAAGGTGATGTGTGCCAAAGAAAAAGGAAGGCTTAAACCCCCTCTCGCACTTTGTTCTCAGACATTCAAATAACTTACTTGAGTGGTCTTGGGCTTGTTGGAGGCCCCACCTCTTGACTTGCCTACACCTCTCCCACTTTCTCTAGCTGCCTGCTATAGACCCTTCCACAGGTGGACCCACTCACATTGTCTCTGGCAGTGCCTACTGTGGTCCCTGCACCTTGCAGCACAGCATGTGTGGCCTTCTTGACCCTGAATCCTGACTGCCCAGCCTCATCTCCTTCCATAGCAGGGTGGCCTGCCACTAAGATCCTCCCATTGTGGGGTCAAGGATACTCCCAGCCCATGGGAATGTGTGAGTGACTTTACTTCAAATAAAATGCTCCACCTACATTAAAAGGGGAGAAAGGAGTCTAAGACTCAGTGTTCCCATCTGTGCAGTGGGCCAATAGGCATGAGGCCTGGTCAGTGGGGCCTCTGACACTCACTTCTGCCCTTCACCCTCCAGACCCACACTACTCCCACATTTGCCTGCCTGTGGCTAGGAGGCTGACCTGGCTTCTTCTCCCTGAGGGCCACTCTGCTGACTCATGTGAGACTGGAGGAGGGGGATGGGGCTCATCACCTGTGAAGGACACAGAAACATGCCCCCAACAGATTTAAATTCTCTGTCCTATTCTTTCCAGGCCTCCTCATAGTGGCTGCTCTGACATGCCCACCCCAGTCCCTTGTGGTCCCCATGCCAGCCACCTTTGTAAATCAACATTCTGCAAATGATCTAATTGGGGTGAGTCATCTATTTCTTGACTGACCAGCTACAGCTAAGACGGTGATAAAATGTTTACATCA